TTCTTCATTTCTTCTCTAACAGCTAGGGAGGGGGCGACACTGGTCTGAAAAGCCTAGCAGTACCCCAGCCAGAGGCCTTCAGTGCCTGGGACATTGTGGTCGCTCTGGGCCGAAGCCGTGTCCTCTATCCTTCTCTGTCGCCCACCATGCCAAGGGTAATCCCCGAGGCTCTGAGGGGCAAGAGTGACGCAGTTCATCATCCCTTCTTAGAGATGAAGAACAAGGCTCGAGAGGCTGAGTGAACTGTCAAAAGTCATGGACCCACAAAGCAGAGCGGGGCCTGCAAACAGACTGGCTTTTTCTGGCGCCCAGCTGGCCAGGGTGGGGGTATCACCAGCTCAGGTGTCTGAGGGCAGAGGCTCTGCCGCCACACCAGGGCTTCTTCCTCAGCTCACACAGCTAGAGTCCCCAGTTAGGGAGTCTGGCACTCTGCCTCTGCCAAAAGGCCAGGCTCCGGTCCTAGTCCCAGGGAAACGGGGAGCCAAGAGAGGGCTCCTTGGCGAGCTAGCAGAACTGGCGCACTGTTTTGCCCACTCTCGGGCTTGGTGTCTCCTCTGGGGAGATAGAAATGTGACCCCATCCAACCACCTGCAGGCTATTGGGTGGGTGGGGAGAGGTAGAGCTCAGAGAACAAAGGACTAAGAACTCACGGAAGGAAGGGCCCAGGAGGCCGGCGGAAGGAAAGGCCCAGGAGGCCGGCGGTACAGGAGATGGAGCGGGAACAGACGGTCAAAACTGGCAGCTCCACTCTCCAGGCAGCCCCAAGCAGGGAGTCGAAATAACTCCACGGTGGGGTGGGGCTCCCCTTTCCAGCCCCACAGAGGCAGCGGAGGCCTGGTGGGATCCAGCTGTGACTCATGTTGGGTGGCATGGGTAGGCACGGCTCTCCCTGAGGCAGCCAGGCTGCAAATCCAAACTGACACGGAAACACAGGGCTTCGCGGATTAGCCCTGGAGATTAGCGGAAACCTCCCCAGAAATCTGCCCTCAAGGCAGCCCGGTCTGGGGGGTCCTGTCACACAGCAGGTGGGGGGCAGGGTGTGGGCTGAGGACGAGGGCCCACCCTCCTCAGTGAGCCTCCACTTAGGACACACACTAGGCCAGTGCGCCCCTCAGCCTCACTCAGAGGCCCATCAGGGCTTGCATCCAGCCACCAGAATAAGGAGCCTCAATCTGCTCGAACACATGTGCCCTAGGATTCTCACTGTGCAGGCGAGAGCCTCTCCGAAGGCATTCAAACAGGAGGCAGAGACGCTTATGGCTGACACAGGCTGCACAACCCCAGGGCATCTTCCCTCCACCGTGCTGCCTCTACCGACAGGCCAGGCCGTCCCAGCACACTCTCAGGCCCTGGACTTCGAAAAGTGGGGCAGAGCAGTGTTAGCAAACTCTGCCAGAGCCTGAGGGGCACAGGGACGGTAGGCTGAGGAAAGAATGGTCAAGAGGTAGGTCCCTGGGCCTCCAGCCCAATCCAACATGGCAGCTCTGCTGGGATTGTATTGTGTATTTGGGCTCAAGCAACAAACGAGACAAGACACAACTCTTCTTTCTCAAACAACTCACCCAACTTAGGCTGGATGACAAGTCCCTGGGGAGGCTGCCTCTGCTGCAGTGTGGCCACTGCTGCCCAGGGGTCGTCCCACCTCCCAGCGCCTGCTGGGAAATGAGGCATGGCCCTTCTCCTCCCCCAGTGTCCTAGTCAAGAGCAGGGAGTAAAGAACTCTCAATTCTCCTCAAAGGGCTTAGGATTTGGGAATGGAAACTGAATTCTAGAAAAAGATAGTCCTTAGCCCTAAATTTGGCTCAGATTCATTATCTCCTACAAGGTATTTATAGCTAAGTTGGAGGTCCACTTAAGATTTATGTCTTCAGAGAGTCTCACAGGGGAAAAAAGAACAGAAAACTCAGCCAGAGACACAAGCTGAGGAGGAAGGGGGAGGGTGTCTCGGGGGAGGGGAACGCTGGGCGGGAACAGTCTTTCCCTGGTGGCTACTGGGCAAGGTGGGCAGATGCACCAGGGCAGCAAGAGCTGCACAGGGAGCAGCCAGGACACTGGCCAGGGCTGGCACCGCCCTCCCTTGCCCGGGCCAAAGAGGCTGCTGGGAGGCAGTCTCCTTTTGTTGTCTGCGACTCCCCCGCAAGGGCCCAGCACCCTCTTCTCTACATGCCCAACAGCCTCTGAGAAATAAAGACACAGAGAAAAACGGAGAAAGCTCCCCAGGAATGTCTGTGATAAAGGCTGCCAGCCCCCTCGAGGGCAGCAGGGGACACAGGACCTGGGGAGAGAGTCCTGTTCTGGGAAGCGAAGTAGGTTGTCAGGAAGGGTAGAATCGATCTCAGTCTCTCTCCCCTGTCCTCCCCTACATGCATCCCATTATTGTTTCCCCAACACTGGCCTTCAAGAAGCACCTCCAAATCCTGCCTTACTCCCCCAAACTTCCAAACCCCAAAGAAGAGATCTTAAGCAGATTCTAAGAAGAGAGTGAAAGATCTGGTCCTTGGGCAGGGGACTAAGTCCTCAAGTTCACCAAGCCTCTCTCTGACCTTTAACCCTCAGCGACCCAACACCACTCCCAATCCCTGGGCAGGGCCTCCATGCCGACCCAAGGCTCCCCAGACAAAACTCAAAGCCTCTGCTTACAAAAAGCAGGGCACCCTCACCCCCCACGCACTGAATAGTTACTGCCAAGACCCCCACTTTCTATAGAGAGTATGCTGCAGACAGAGGCTAGAAGAGGCTGAGCAGCCTCTGGTCAGAGGCCCTGGGCGAAGGAGACCTGTACCCAAGCTGTCCCAACCCCGCAGCTTATCAGCCATTTTGGCTGGAGGACCCCAGCTCAAGGCTAACCTCAAGCCCAGCTTCTCAGAGTGAGCCCCGAAGCTATCCAAGCATCAGACAAGGGGCCCAAGTCCAGGCTTTCCCTAGATCCCCTCCCAGGTCCCAGAGCCTAAGGAGAAAAGCTTGGAAACCACCCTCCAAGGTCAAATGCTCACTTCTACCCTGTTCCCCAATCCCAATCGCTCCCGACCACCTTCACCACGTCTCCCAGAACCATGTGCAGCTGTATTATTATGAATATCTTTACATGGACTCAGTTTTAAATTTATTTATTGAAAACACCACAACAGAATGCCAGTACCACCTGTCATAAATAAAAGATAGTCAATAAAAATATACTGTTAAAACAAAACAGGGCTATAAAAGTCTGGAAACTCTTCCCGCCTGCCCTAGGCCCAAGGCCTGCTCCCTAGACATGGGAGAAGCCAGCATGTGTTCCAGGGGCATGAGACATATTGGCACCAAGCTCAGACTGTCTTCTTGGCATAAAAGGATTGGAAGAGAATGGAAAGGGAATCCCTTTCTTGCTCAGACTAGGTGCTTAATGCAGGCTCAATACTACCTAAAAACATCTCAAGGGAAGGAGGGCATCCACCTGATACTCTGGGAATGCTGGACTAGAGGCTCCGTCTGCCTCATCCTTAACACAGTGTGGAAACGTTCTCTGAGTACACCTTCAAGGCACCACTAGATCCCCTCCCCGCACGCCTGCTCTCACACCAAGGCCTAGCAACTCCTTCTCCCCCAACACTGGACCCCCTGGTAGAGATCACCGCTGGCTCAGGTGGGACACCAGGTAGACGAGGCCCACCAGCAGGAGTCCACGCACGCCGAGCATCATGAGCAGGAAGAGGAGCAGAATGGAGGTCACTGGCTCCACGGCGTGGTTGCCAAGATGCCACTGAGGGAAGCCCATGTTCACCAGCTGCCGGTTGAGGTCATTGAAGGGAGACTGAGCAGCACCCAGCCTGGCCCCGCCCTGTTGCTGCCGGGGGCCGGGACCCCCCAGGGGAGCACCATGACCCCTATTGAAAAAACTCTGGAAAGTGAAGACAGACAGAGAGAGACAAATGAATCCAGAGAAAGCTTCCCTGGAGCTGAGGCACTGGGCAGAAGGGAGTCCTCTGGGCTGGGCCCTGCCCTCCCCCACAGCCACCCAGAGCCGTGTCCTCCTTTCTCAGCAATCCCCAGATGCCACCCACAGGAATCCCAGCCACGGAGTCACGAGCTCTCAGAGCACAGAAAAGGCCAGTCCGAATTCCCCATGTGGTGCCCGGGATAGGAGAGACGAGGTGGGTCAAGGCAGGTTGGACTACAGGGCATAGTATTCAGACAGGCATTTTTAACACTTCTTACTCCTTCCTTTAAAATCAACATTGTGCGGCTATGGGTTCATCTCCTCCACTTATTCTCCATGTTCTCTCTCATCCAAAGGAAGGAGGCTGGTTCTAGTGGAATTTACTAACCAGGTGTAGGGAGACAGAGCTCTTGGGTGTGAAATCTGGGAGGGCTTCCCAGAGAAGAGAGAGCAGGAAGGCAGGGGTCTGGGCAATAAATCTACTGTGGCTTTCCACAAGCCTCGACACCCCACCCCTCCCCAGCCCAGCTCTCTGCAAAGAGAACTTGGGGTTAGAGAAGGTTAATGACCAGCAAGAGAGCTTCTGGGAGCTAGAGAGTAACTAGTACAGAGGGCAGAAGCCAGCTGCTCCCCTACCACGGGGGCCGGGTGCCTACCTGTCGAGGGGTGCTACTCTGTGGCGGGGTACTGGTCCTTACGCGGGGGTCGTCATCCTGCACGATTTCTCCATTGGCCAAGATCCGCACCATCCTCTCAGAAACTCTGGATCCCTGCTAGGCTGCACCTTTCCTCAGACCTCAAAAAGGCTGGGGAAAAAAATTTATCAGAGATAGAGAGATGCTTGCTTTCAGTGGAAAACACTGCATTCTGGGTGCTCACACTGGTGACCCACACTGAGCAGGCACCGTATCTGATTAATAAAAAGGAGAAAGGTAAATGCAAGTTGTTTGCCAGACAAAAATCTTTCAGACACTGAGTCCACTGGGGAAACTATCAAAAGGATCCTTGGAGATAGTTTTATTACTAACCACTATCAGCGACAACGGGGACGAGAACTTTGGTGTGGCCCAGACACTGTGGAAAGTCCACTGAAGCTCATCTCACACCTCCCAACACTCCTCTAAGGCAGGTCCAGCTACAGACCCAGAGAGGTATATATAACTAGCTTGCCCAGGACCATTCATCTACCAGCAGCAGAAAAAGAAGGAGAAACTGGGAAGTCTGGCCCTAGGTATTTAGTATTCAGAGAAATACTAAATACCCATCCAGGGTATTTAGTCTGGCCCTAGGTATTTAGTATTCAGAGAAATACTAAATACCCATCCAGGGTCTTAGGATCTCCAAAGTCTCAATTTCCTTGCTAAATAATTGGTCCAGTGTGCTGGGAGTAAATGCCAAGGACCTCTCCTTCCCAGGAGAACTGGGTCCACTTAAGAACCACTTTAGATCCACTGCCTGGCAGCAGACCACACTGGTGGCCACACACCCCCAGCGCTGCATGGAGGAACAGACCTGCAGAAGGTATGCCTCTCGCCTGTACCTCACCTCAGGTAACATCAATCCCTCTTTTGTTAAAAGGAGGCCAGGGCCAGCCTTCCCAAAATATGGGATGGGGATGTTTCTGTGGTTCTGACAAAGCCCCACTCTGCAGACCCCAATGTGTCCATGGGCTAGAGGTGGGGTGAGACTCCTTCCATGTCTCTCCCTGAATCTGTGTAAAAGTCATTCTTTCTCAGGAGACAAGCCACAGTTTTCATTTAAATTCTCAAAAGCACTAGTGACACACACGTCAAAAGGGGTTAAAGAGACCGTTCTCTTTGCCCGTGGTCTGGAGCCTGAGACAGGCGGGTCCCCTTTTAGAAGCCTGCTGGCCCCTGCAGAATGCCAAGCGGGTCGTGGTCCTCTGCAGTCCCTTTGTGCTTTGTCATCCCGTCTCTCTGGGTGGGCTGTGGGCGCTGCCAGTCCTCGGTGCACCTACGGATGGCGGGGGTGGGGTGCTCCCGGGGCGGGAGGAGCTGCGGGCTGCGGGCTCTGGGGAGACGGCGCTGCCTAGGCCGCTGAGCCCGGCCTTGAAACCAGGCCCACGGCATGAAAAGGATAAGCCCCCACTTTCCCACGCCCGGGGCCCGGACACCCACCTGCAGGTGCGACTCCCGGCCCCGGCGCCGTCCTCTGGCCGCGGCTCCCAGGCCGCTTCCTCCCACCTGACCTCACAGGAAGCGCGCGCGCAGCAATGCGGCCCAGCGGGCGGCGCAGCATCGCCCTCTGCAGGCCTCTGTGGGAACCGCATCTGCCAAGCGCGGTGGACACCTAGCAGGGAGCCGGAGGAGGAAAAAAGAGGGCAGGAGAGGAGAGCAGGAGAGGACCAGCGGGGTGGGAAGAAGAGGAGAAGGAAAGGGAAGCGGAGCCAAAACAGGAAACCCCAGGGCGTGGGGGACGCCCCTGGCCTGGGATGAGAGGTGGGCACAGGCTCAGCCTACCAGTTGTAAGTTTGTTGGACCGGCTCCATGGATGCCCCTTGAGTAGGCCCTAGCCCTGCCCTCAAGAAGCTCCAACTCCAGTAATGAAGATAAGGCATGAAGCACAGGGCAGGTGCGACTAAGTGCAACGTGAAGTAAGGCAGGCTTCCTGAAGGAGGCAGCCTTTAAGCTGGAGTCAGAAGGATAGGAAAGAGTTTGCTTGTCAGGCAAACAGGGAAAGACACTCCTGACAAAGGGAACCACTTGCCCAAGAGTGAAAAATCAACTTCTGCCTCTTTCCTGATGTGTTTGAATCACCACCCTACCCCACCTCAACTTTCACATGTTGTTCCCTGTGGACCTGTCCACCAGTAGGAGAGAATGAGCTCTGCGGTGCCATGATTTGGGTTCAGATTCCAGACTCTGGCAGGTTACTGAGTTGCTCAGTGTCCTCATCTGCAAAATGGATATATTCATAGCATTTACTTCACAGGATTGTGTGAAGATTAGTGCCATGAGAGTCCTCGGCACATGGCAAGGGTTGCTAAACATTAGTTAAGATTATCAATCAGTGGATGTTTCTCAGAGTAGGCAGATATTTATTGAGCATATATTAGGACCCAGATGCCCGCTAGCCCCTGCGTGGGGGGAACAGAAAGAATATATAAAGAACCTCTACAAATGAATAAGAAGATGGACAATTAATAAAAACGTAGGCCAAAAAAATGTAGGCAAAGGATTTGATAGAGCAAATTAAAAAAGAAGAAACCCAAATGGCCGATAAACTCTTGAAAAAGGGCTCAGCATCATTAGCAATCAGGGAAATACAAATTAAAATCACTGTGAGACCACCACGCATTCATCAGAGAGACTATAATTTAAAAGTCTGACAACACCAAGTATTGGTAGGTATGTGCAGCAATGGGAATTCCCACACATAGCTGGTGGATGTGTCAATTGGTATAACCACTTTGGAAAACCATTTGGAATTGCTTATGAGAGGTGAGTATTTACATTCTTTATGACACAGGAGACAAAAGTGAATGCTCGCACATACCAGATCATGTGTACAAGCATTTTTCATAATAGAGACTGAAAAAAATTAAAATGTCCATCGAACTAAAATAGATAAATTGTAGTTGAACCGTGCAATAGAATGCTATACAGTGAAAAAGACTATGAATTCTAAATACATGCAATACCATAGTTAAATCTTTAAAATACTATGTTGAACCAAAGAAACCAGAAGCAAAATAAATCTTACTTATGGTTTCATTAGTTTCAAGATTAAAAGAAAATAAATTGAATTACATCATTTAGGGATGCATACTTGAGTGGTGAAGTATATTAAAAAGTAAAGAAATTATTACCAAACATTTAGTAATTCAGTTTTCCTAAATTTAAAGGAGTATGTCAAGGGGTATGCAGACAGTAGGCAGAGGAGGCTATGAGGTGCTGGCAATATTCGATTTCTTGACCTGGTTGGTGGTTTTATGGGTGTTCGCATTATAATATAATTTGTTAAACTATAGGAAGAAGAAGGAATGAGTCAGCTTATCCAGGTGGTGGTCAAATAGGTCTATTCTTTCATTAAAGGCAAACTAGGTAAGGATTAAGTGTGTGGCTTCTGGGGACAGTTGACTTGGATTTAAAATCTCCGGGCTTGCTACCTCCTTGCTGTGTGACCTTATAGAATTTGCTTAACCTCTCAATGCCTCGATTGTTTCATCTGTAAAAACAGGGATGATAATACTATCTAATGTGAAGATTAATAACAGACATGCAGTAAACAGTACCAGAGCCTTGTTAGATAAGGAAAACTTCATACAGTCGTTCAACATAAAATCCCTTGAGTGCTCATGCTGGGTTGGGCCCTTCAAGAAGCCTTTGAAGGCCAGGGGACTTGGGCCCAAGGCTGCAGCTACAGAGCTCTCAGAACTGCAGCTCCACCTTAGAGTCAATGAGGCTACTACCCAGATCACCCACGAGCCACTAACAGGTCTCAGTTTGGGGCAACCCTGCAGGGACAGGAAGCCAGGAAGGCAGTCGCTAGCTGCCTGCTTCCACAGCTGGTCATAGGGGCTTCGGGCAGTCTGGCACCAGAACTCAGGTGGCCTCTCCTACTTCAGGGCTCAGAAGAGTGAAGGGACATCATACTGTGAGAAAAGAGGAGCAGGGAAAGTGGAGGAGCCAGAGGGTCTTGGTCGCCTTTTATCACATCCTTAGAGGGAGTAGAAGCAGAAGAGTGGGGGTGGGGTGAGCAAAAAAAAAGAGCCAAAAGCATAGAATGAGACCAGCCCAACCGAGTGCTTTTTGTGGGGTTTTAATTAAGCCTGGAGGCCTCATTGTTCCTTTCAGGGTGGAACATATGTTCAGGGCCTGGCTGAGATTTGGGACTGAAATTTCAATGGTGCTGGGCCCTATGGCCTGACGGAGGAGGGGGTGGGGTGGGATGTGTGGCTTAGGGATGTGTCCGTAAGCCCTGTAAGAATCTATAGCATCTCCTAGAGTCACCTTCATTGGAGCAGAAAATAAAACAACCAGAAAGGGTAGCTGAGCTCCCCACCCCAACCCAATATAGAGGAAAGCCTGTGGGGCAGGGCAGAACTACCTTCGCTTTAGTAGGCTGTGTGTGACCTTCAGTAGATGTCAGTTTCCCGATGTGCACCATTCAGACAGAGCTGGCTAGGAGAATAGTCACCTACACCTGCCACCACCATCATCAGGGGCCACCCAAGTGGCTGGCAGCCCAACATTAAAGGCTTGAACTTGAGGTCAAACTTCCATTCTAACACTCACTCTGCAGCTCACCAACTGTGTCACCTTGGGTAAGTGACTCAGTCTCTCTGAACCTGTTTCCTCACCTATAAAGTGAGGTGATGATTCCCATCCTCTGTGTTTGCAGTTGACTAGGATGACCCATGTGGAGCCCTCTGCACATAGTGCCTTGTGGGTGTTTACTGTCACCAGCAGACATAGTCATTACTAGTGAACCTTCCCCTCCTGGGGCCCTGGTGGTGAAAAGAAAGGAACGCAGGCCGGTGAGCACACTCAGAGTATAGAAAAGTACAACAGCACAGCCCATCCAGGCTGCAGAAGCATAAAATGAAGAGCAGTCTCCCTAGATGGGAAGGTTGAAGGTCTTGCAAAACCCAAGTGAGTTAAAGGTGGGGTTGCCTTTAGGTAGGGGATTAGTATCACACAGGTGTGAGGCTGGGGGTCTAAGTAGCGTGTTTAAGGACAGGGCAGGTTGACCTAACTGGATGAAGATCCTGTTGGGGCGTAGTGCGACTGGATGCTCGGAGTGTTGTTTGGCTCGGGATGTGAGATATAAACACACAGACAAGCCGGGACGTCTCTTTCCTTAGCTATCCAAACAGAACCCTGGACTCAAGGATTTCCAAGACTATGCTTCACTGTAGGCCACAGGGAGCCATGGAAGGTTTTGAAACCTCCAGGCACGGTGGACAGCAGGAGTTCAGCCTGTGCCAAGGGAACCAACTGTAGGTGAGAGAGCCTGAGTGATAGGGATGGTCTCCAAAGAACTCAGAAAGCTACTTCTAGAGTGAGATGATCAGCATTTGGATATGACCGCACCTAGAAAGCACTAGCATGGGGTGACAACTACAGTAGACAAACAAATGCTTTCCTGATTCTTCCCATTTTGGGGCTCAAACCAGCAGCTAGAGAGGTGAGCAGAAGGGAAAAAAAAGAGAAGTTGATCACACCTCCCATAAGCACGCCTATCCCATGACAGGGGTACCAATCTGTGTAGGTCTGAGTCGAGGGAGAGGAGAAGCCCTAAATAAAGTTGGGGTTTTTATATTGCACTAGACTGAACATTCTAATATTTGTAAAAAGACGCTATGCATTTGTTACATATCAGTGATTGGGAGATCCCCTGAGAATGGCCAGAGCTTTCACCCAGGGGCAATGAAGAATAAGATGGGAGAGCCAGTTTGAAGGGGTAGTGGGGAGAAATGACATAGCCACTTTCTGTTTGCATCCTAGCAAGTACAGCTCATCCAAAATCTGGCTAAAGATACCCAACTCTGGAATGATAATTGCCAAGTGAAAAAAGGAAGGTACTGGACAATATATAGTGTGGTGTTGTTTATCTAAGAAAGGGAGATTATCAATACAAACAAGTAAATAAATAAATACATTTGCTGATATTTTTAACAATGGAAGGAGAAACCAAAAACTAATAAAAATGGCTTCCAGTAAGGAGAAGGAAGAGATGGGGCTGGAAATTAGACTTCTCTGAAAGTATTCTGTTTTATGGTTTTGACTTTGGAGCCAGCTAAATGTTTTACATAATTATAAAATAAAATTGAATCAAAAAATTTTAAAGTAAGACCTAAAAATAAAAAATAAAATGAAGCATATAAACTTAACTCCACGTCGAGGTTAGAGCCACAGAGAATTAATTTCAAATGATTTTAAGACACAATAATATGTCACAAGGACAAAAAGAACTTCAAAATTTCTTAAATTGTATTTAGTAACTGTATTTTAGTAATAAATATTACTAAATAACCATATTTTAGTAACCCCCAGGAGTGTCTCACTCTCAAGCTCATTCACACTCTGCCTCCAGCAATTGGTTAAAATCACCATTAAGTATATCTGCCAGATTGTGGCTCCTGGCTTCTGCTCCAGGTAAGCTGATTCTGACTCTGATTCTCTCTATTCATCTGTATCTCAAGATTTCACGGGGGCCATTTGGCCTGCGACTTCAGTTCTTTGATGAGTCTAAGAAAATTGGTTGATTTTCAGTTTG